AAAGCAAATGCAGAAAAAATGGATTTTAAACACCTCCAAAATATTTCTCTCGCCTTTACTTCCAGTCATCTTTGGCTCCTTTGGTCTTTCAAGGGAGGCACAACAGATGGGTATCACACTTTAGGTGCTGACTGTTGCTTCAATAAGAAGCTTTTCCAGGCTCAAAAAAAACCAAACCTCCTTAACTCCCAAGTTCTGTCAGAGTCCAACTGCACAACAACCTCATGCCAAGGTGCCACTTCTGCCAATCTGCCTTTGCCAGAGCACCTCCAGAGCAGCCACCTCTGGCCAGGAGCTCGCTGCCACCAGGAGATCCTACAGGTTGTGGAGAGATACATAAACATTAACGACCAAACCCCACCTAGGGATGCTCAAAACACGATGACAACTCTCCACCCACCCACACAGCTTCTCCCGTGCGGTGTGGGCTCGGTCCTCCCTGACACGGAGGAGACACAGTGTGGAGAAGGCATCACCGAGGGGCTGGGACTGTCCAGCTGGTTTGGTACAGTCAGGTCTTGCTGTCCCTTGCTGGAAACAAGAAATGGTTGGCTCAGTGTCTTCTTCAGGTGCACAGAAAGATGTGACCCATGCGACAAGTGAGTGCTGCGCAGCGGGGCAATCCTAAAAATAAAAACAACAGCCCCAACCCAAACAAAGTGAAGTTGCTTAGCTCATCACATCCAGCTTTACACCATCCAAATAACTCTAACCTCACCCCTCATCTCCAATTCCTCCCACTCCTTACACTTAGATGACAATCCCAGGCCTGTTTGCACCAATTTTTGTGATGAAGCGACAGGGCCCCTGGCAGAGCTCAAATCCTTTTTGCTTCTGAGAGCTGAAGGACTACACAATTTTCTACACAGAAGAGGGAAGTCAAGAGTAATCTAAACTGTTAGCCCAAATTATAAGATTATATACCCACTTACATAAACATGTCAAGGTCCAGCTAATATAAATATTTACTTTCAAAGTTCATTTTAGCATCAAGCTCGCTACAGGAGATGCCAAATTTGTGAGAAAGCTGAAGAGATATTAAGGTTGCAAGAGGTCTATCCATCTGTTGCTTCAAAAAACCTTCCCAAGGCTGTAAAACTTGTGTTGCACAGATTAACTGGGATTGACAGAAGAGAGAAAATTAAATTAGAGGCAGAAAAGAAGAAGGGCAGTAAATTATGTGCAGTTTACATCCCACCAGCCTGAAACATATGCTCCCATAAAGCCAATTTCCACAAGCCTCAAAAGCAGGTATGCCAGATGAAATCCTTCTATTTTATGGCACAAGCAGGACTTTTTGGAAGCTGTTTTACCTGCACAAGCTGCACAAATACAAGCTACTGAAGACCCTCATCTGCCCTATCACCCTTGCTGACACAGCCTTCCCCTCTTCCGAGATTAAACGCTTGACTTAGCACCCGTCAGCAGAGCACAGGTGGCTGCTCAGAGCTTGCTGAACACCAGGAGCCCCTGCCAAGGGAAAACAGCAGGTCTGAGAGGAGTAAATTTAACCCTAGATGCTACATCTGTGGGGCCAGGCTCCGAAACATCCCATCTGAAGGGTCATGGCAGGAGGCTTTTCCCCACCTGGCCATGTCTCCATCAGGAGGAGGTTTGATGGCTGTTGCAGGATAGAAAAACCCTGTGGCACGAGGGAAAGTTGTCCCCTGAGATCTGCCCCAGACACGGTCACCCCAGTTCCCCGAATAACAACTCCAAGCTCCAGGTAGGAGGTGCAGGAAACTCCTGGCAGAGGGATGAGCGGCGGATGATCAGATGAAGGTGGAGCGAGGTCCACCCATCACGCCTCTTGTTTTGCTGCTCAGAGAGTTCCCCACTGCTCTACAAAGTAAAGACACCAACCTGCTCAGCAGGAGGAACGTCAGACCTGCCCAGACCCCCTCCATCATATTTTCAGATGTTTTGCAGTGAGCAGGAGACAGGGACAGGGCAGCGGGGACTCTTCCACACCACCAAGCTCGCCTGTGGCCCTAACAATTTCAGGAAGCATCTTCCAATCCTCTAAATGGAGCCCTCCCAAGAGGAGGAAGCAGATGGAGAAAGTTATTTTCCCCCCTTGCATGACCTGCTTTAATAAATGCACACTCAGTTCTTTTCTGCCTTTTTTTATGGAGTTAAGCATGGGCACGGAATTTCTGGGAAGTTCACAGTGTCGGCGATCAAACCTCTTGTTCATGCAAGAGCCCAGGGATTTATGAGTGCCAAGTGCACTCATTAGAGGAGTGGGCTGGTCATTCAGGAACATCCAGCTCCCTGCCAACTCAACTCAAGTTGGAAATGCAGGAAAAATAGAGGGTTTGGTGCAGTGGATCTTCATCCAACTCGCTCCACCAGCCATTGGCTCCATGACCCTGCTCCCCAAGAAAAAAAAGATACAAATCTTCCTCTTATGCATTTGCTATCAAGATAACCATTGTACTGCTTAAGGATGAAAGACAAAAGTGGATCTTTCTAACTACTCTCACTAAATTAAAGCTGAAGGAAGATCCTGATAGCTTGGCTTTACTAATTCAGACTTTCTTAGATGTTTATGGTAATTGTCTTCTGGGTAATTTGTTTAAATTTGTGTGTAAACAAAGAGTTTGTACACATCTACAGCCTCACACAGAGTGTGTCATTTCTGAAAAACATTCCAGCCATAGTTCCCTCTTTTCATTTTCCCCTCAGAGAAAACCAATTCAAGGCTGAATTATGGCATTACCTGCAGCACGAGCCAGCACAGCGTCACAGGCTTCTGCAAATCAAATGGTCAGTTTTAATATTTCCTAAAGTGGTCCTCAAATGAGAAAAAGCCTTCTGTTTCCCTGCTTCTCTGAATGTCTTTGGGCAGCTGCTCAAGAGGCGTAACTCAGTTTGACTGCACTGGAGGCCACTGGCCATGTGCCCACATGCACCAGCATTACATCTCTGCTGGTCCCTCCACCTCAGAAGAAGTCATTTCACCCAATTCTGCTCCTTGTTATCTCACATGGGACTTTTTTTCTCCCACTGTATATGTATATGTACCTGTCTACCTCTCTGTCACAGGAAGGATTCAGCTAGGGCACCTTTTTTCCACTTTACAAGTGGTTTTTTGGGGGATTTTTTAAACAAGAAAATAGGAATCAAGTACTTGCAAACTATAAGCTCATAGTCTTCCCTAGCAAAAGGCAGAAGGAAGAGCAAGCCAAGCCTCCCATGAGTGGGGCAGCTTTGACAGCAACTCATGCCCAGTCATCCACTGACAGGTCCGATATTCCTGGTCCTGGTCCGGGTGTATTTTCAAAGCCCATCCCCAAACATACATCATGAGTTATCCATCCCCCAACACACATCATGGGCTCTCCATCCCATAATCATCTCCCTCACCATGTCTCACCAATGCCCTTCACCTGACAGTGATCAGTCAGATCTAAACTTTCTGCTGCATTCATGCTCTTGCATTTAAATGCTCCTCACCCTAAGAAAACCCAACAACAAATCAACAACGAAGAATCCCAACAAAAACCCCAAAACAAGCCAACTCTGGTGTTTATTTCCTGATTTCCACCTGTAGCAACCTGAAACAAAGCAACAATCACAGTTTTGCTGTATCACATTATTCCCTGCTAACAATACTTTCCAGTGAAGCTTGATAAGTCCTGTTTATCCAAACTAGCACAAGTAGAATAACACATGTCAACCAACTGCTTTTTCATTTAGGACCCTTCGCCCAGAGAAGGGGAAGCAAAACCCTTTCCCCATTCAAATAGCACCTACTCATGCCAGGAATGCCTCAAGTTAAGAAAACTTGGGTAAATAAAAGTTTAAAAGTTCTGACTCCTAGGAGCTGTTTTACTAGGAATTCAACTTTCTGCTTAAATAAGCGAGGTAAGTCCAGCTAGTTATGCTCCTACTTATATTAGTTTCATATATGGGATACCAAGTATTTTTATTTTTTCCAGATCCGAGAAGATGAAGCTTTCTGCACTGGCCCCTATTCTTGTGGGAATATAAAGAGAAAACCATGCCTCCCCTCCTAATGTATTAGTGCCCCCTAATATACACCAGATGATCAATAAACTGCATAAAAATTAAATCAAACTGACAGTCTTTAAAAAATGGTCTCTAAGCAGAAACAATTGTTTTAAAGACTGTGGTGTCTGGAGTATTAAACTCACGTGCTGTTGTGTTATTAATCTCTTTGTTGGAAGCCGGTTGATTTCCCCTGCCTGTGTCTGTCAATTAAATATTCAGCATCGCAGCCACAATGGAAGGGCTGATGTTTTGGAATGCAAAAAGTTTTTTTGAGACGCGCTGTTGACAGTTCCCTTCCATGCCACAGCATCTCCCAAAACCCATCGCAACTCCCAAAAACCGAGCAGCCAGGCAAACCCAAACCTCTGCCAGGGGCTGCGAGAGCGCTCCGGCATGAGTTTAGCGAGGTGGGAGAAAGAGAGGAGCGCTGGTGAAGCCGCCAGCAGAGCGACACGGCAACCAGAGCGCCAAGAGTTGCTGTTTTCCATTATTAACCAAAACACGAGCCGGGCTGAGCGTAGAGCGCTGCCTCCACCTGGAGCTGGCCCCGGCGCCGCCGAGGCAGCGCCGGGAGCGGGGCCCGTGCCGGGGGCAGCCCCAGGGCGCATCCCCGAGCCCACAGTGCCCCCTGCGCACCGCCCGGGCCGCTCCCCCGCGGCCGGCAGCGGGGCCGCGGGGCCAGCGAGGCACGAACGACAGCGAATCACCCACAAAGAGGGCATCGGGGTGCGGGGCTGCCGTGCCCGGCTCCCCCCACGGGGACCCCCGGCCGCCCCCCGCGCTCCCCAGCCCGGCGCGGCCGCTCCCCGGCTCCCCCGCTCGCCGCCCGGCCCGGCTCTCCCGGCGGCCCCGCTCCGCTTTTGTTTGGGAAGCGGCGCGGCCGAGCTCTGCCTGCACGCCGCCGAACTTTCCCAAAAGTTTTTCCCGGGGAGCGGAGGGGGTGCGGGAGCGGGGAGAGGGGGCGCGGAGCCCGCGGTGCTCACCCATGACGAGGCAGAGGCAGTCGAGGCAGATGAGCAGGGCTTTCTTGCTGCTGCTCTTGGCCGGGTTGTTGTTGAGCGCCGGGCTGCCCCCATTCTTGCTCTCCGGCGGGATCGCCTTGTCGTACTCTCGCACGCCGTGCGCCGGGGAGGTGCTGCCCGCGCCGCCGGAGCCGCTCCCGGCCTCTCCGGTGGGGCACGGGAGGCGAGAGAGGCAGGCGGGTCTTCCCAAGGAGAGAGGAGGGAAAAAAAAAATCAAAGTAGCAAAACAAAAATCAAAACAAGCCCGAAAAAAAAAAAAAAAAAAGCCCCAATCACCAAGAAAGCAGCGAAGGGGCAGCGAGTGAGAAGTTTGCGGGTTGTCCCAAAGGCGGTGGAAAAGTCCTGGAGGAAAGCCGGGGGGAAGGATTAAAAAAATAAAAAGCGTGTGTATATATATATAATATATATATGTGTGTGTGTTTCTATGTGTGTATGAAGGTCTCAGTCCGGGAGAAGGTGCGGGGCGATGCTGCCCCGGGGGCAGGTGGGCTCCGCGCTGGGCTCCGCTGCGCTGCGCTGCGCTGGGGGCTCCCGCCGCGCCCGCCCCGGCCGCTCTGGGAGCCACCGGCTCGGTTCTGCACTTTTATTTCGCGAGGCGCTTTCCACCCCTCAGGAAAAAAAAAAAAAAAATGGAGAAGAAGAAGAGGGGGAAGAAAAAAAAAAAAATCAGTCACTTCGCCTCGGATGGGATATCCAAGTAAGCACAGCCCCTTTCCTGCATCTGACATTTTACACAGATAATTAAGTCCACATTTTTTTCCTGAGGGAAGTTTAAAAAAAAAAAAAAAAGTTAGGAGCTAAGTGTTCTCTCGCAGACCAGAAGGAGGGAGCCTCTAGCGTTCGTTCGTACAGGAGTGCAGTGGGGAAAGGAAAACAACCGGGCGATCCAAGGCTGCAGGACTCCCGAAAGCTGGGAACGGTGCAAGGGGCAGAAAACTAACAAAAAAAATAACTTCATAAACATTTTTCTCGTGCTTTTTTCTCCCTGCCCTCCAGCTCTGTTCCGTGTGCTGAGGCAGGGAAGGGGACATGATGTGTAGGGTACCCACAGACCCTGGCAGACCCCAGTGGGGCGACCCTGGCAGAATTTTGGCAGTGCCACCCTGCCAGGTGCCACCGCCGAACCGTGGCAGCTTTGCCCTCCCGCAGCAGCAACATCACCTTCATCAAACGAGCGTAAGGAGAGAGTTGGGTGAGGGGTTGTTGTGTTGGTTAATCGCTCGTTTGGTCTAATTAAAAATCATCAAGGAAGTGAAGAAAAGGTTTCCCAGGAGCCCGAGCTGGCAGGAGGGCAATGCTGTGCTCTGAGCAGGGGTGCAGGAGGTGGGGGGAGAGCTGCTACCCCAAGGAACTGCTCAGGATGGTGTTTAACCACTTCTCCTCTTCGTTTTGGGTCGTGCATTTGACCTCAGCCTCTCACCTGTGTGCTGGCACATATCCTGCTGCATCCCTGGTGATTCCTGAGGAGGGAGAGCCCCCAGCACGGCCACCCTTCCCTGCTGCTCCTCCCGGAGCTGCAGACTGCAGCCCAAGCCTGGGCAAGGCAGTTTTTCCAGGAATCTGTTTAGACACATACACGGGCATACTGAGGCCAGCCTGGGAGGGAGGAAGAAAGTGAAGCGGCTGTTTTCAAATTTTACTTTTATATGTGTGGTGTACAAAGAAAGAGGAAAACAGACCTTGGACGTTCCCCCAATTCTTTCATTAAGCCTCGGTGATGCCTCATTGATGTGAAATCAGGTGCCACCTCCCACCTTGCTGTTGAGGGGACTCTTTTGCCCATTATCATCCCATGGCACTGAATACAAAAGCATCACTTTTGGCCCAAAATGGTGCCAATCACCCACCCAGGGGAACAAGCTGGCTGCGAAGGACACATCTCAAGGTCTCTCTGTCTTTCCCCTGAGCGTGGCAGAGGTGTGGGTGCCTAATTTAGGCTCCTTGGATGCCTGGAGCAAGTGGAAAGAATCTTCACGTGGGAATTCTCCCCCATCTGTGGGCACGCTGCCCAGCCCAGCTCATGTCCACTGTGGGGCCAAGCTTCCACCTCCCCTCACCCTTCAGAGCCTGGCCCTGCCTAGAGGAGCCCACAGACTCCAGCTCCCCACATCCCCAAATCTGCTGATTCCCTTGGTTAAATTCCATTTTGCGTTCAAAGCAAGGAGAAAAAAAACCCAAACAAACAAAAATTGAGACTTATCATTGTAACAGCAAATAAGAAAAAGAAAAAAAGAGGCTTTCTTGTACTTTCAGGGAAATTGAAGTTATGGTTTTGTATTTGCATTTACAAGACCCCTCAGGCTACTATGTTTGCATTTTCATAACAAAAAGATTGTGCTGTTAATTGATGCAAGCCAGGACACACAAATCTGAATCTTGGACAATTTCTTAAGGGGGCAGTAGCCACCACAATTGCCCAGTTCTTGTTGGACAATGGGTAAGTCAGCAGTGCCAAAAAGCAGCTTCTGTGCCTTTGTCAATAATAGGCAAGAGATTCATTGGTAATAATTGTTTATTCATAAATGGAATTATCAAATACGCCATGCACCAGTATCCTTCAAGACCTCAGCTTTTCCTTTCAGTCAGACTTGAAATTCTCACTGTGGACTGAGGTTTTGCTTTATATAAATTATTTGAACTAACTGAGTTTGTATTATTAGTGAATTTTTCTCAGCATTTTTGAAGAAGGGCTGATTTTCACCACCTTCCCACCCCATCTGCACCAAACTTCTGGTGAACAAAGAATACGCTGATATAATTTCCGGGAAGATCAAAAATTGTTGTACTACTTGTTCTTTGCCAGATTTATTTCATAACCCAACAATTTGAAAAGAGGAATTGAGTTTTATTCATTCAGTCTTGTCATTTTAAGAGAATCATCTCTTTAAGGCTGTTCCTGGAATGGGTGAAGGGGCATGAACTTGTTGCTGCTCTTTTTATCTTTGTATCAGTGGGACAGGACTATGTGGAAATCTGTTCATTACATGTCAAGAACTTAAAAACTGAGAGGAGGTTTGTACCTTACTCACTCATGATGGCCAGTCAACATGATCCTGGTAAAAGGGTGTCTGCCAAAAAAACCCACCCCAAACCAAACCAAAAAACAACAGTGAAAATGTTCTTGTGTTTCCTTTTTTTCTTTCTTCTCCATAGAAGAGGGTGCTCAGGGGGGACACTAAGGTCTGGTTTGGGGCAAGAGGAGCCCAAACCTCTTGCTTGAGAGGTTGTGAGAGCTTGTGTTGCCACCAGGTACACAGGGTTGGTGTGGGGAGAGAGAAGGGAAGGGAGAAGGCTCCACATTCTGCTCTGAGGCTCATGGAAGTAGTTTATCCTGCACATTATTAAACATAAAAGAACTATTTGTTGGAGCAGGGAGTGAACCTGCAGCCTGTCCTTATACTCCTGCTTACCCCATGGCCCAGTATAGCTTTAAGGTGTCCCTACAACATGTTCCATCAGTGCAGCACTAGCTCTGGGGTGCAGAGGCAGCTGGGCAGCAGCACTGCCCTTGGCCAGCACCGTCCCTGTGCTCCTGGGGCTGCTCCTTGGCTGGGCAGGACGTGGCCCTGGTGCTCCTGGCTGCTCCACTTACACAAGTGTAGAGTATCCCAGAGTCCTGGAATGGTTTGGGTTGGAGGGCACAGTAAAAATCATCTCATTCCCCATGGGCAGGGACACCTTTCACCACGCCAGGTTGCTCCAAGCCTTGTCCAACGTGGCCTTGAGCATTTCCAGGATGGGGCAGCCACAGCTTCTCTGGGCAGCCTATGCCAGGGCCTCCCCACCCTCACAGGGAAGAATTTCTTCCTCATACCTAATGCAGCCGTGCCCTCTGTCATTTCAAAGCCATTCCCCCTTCTATCACTCCATGTCCTTGTCCAAAGTCCATCTCCACTTCCCTTGGATCCCCTTTAGGTACTGGAAGGGGTTCTAAGGTCTCCCTGGAGCCTTCTCTTCTCCAGGTGGCAACTCTTCTGCTCTTCCTGATGAGCTGCAAACACAGGTGCTGTAGCAGAGCAGTTTGGTGCCTGCAGTGTGCCCTTGGGGTGCTCATTTTGGTGCACTGCCCAGTGCCATGCCACCCCTTCCCCCTCAGACCGACATCCAGCTCTTCCTTGGGAACCCACTTTGCTTTTCTGTCACAGGGAGGATTTTGGCAGCAGCTTTTCTGGAGAGGGGACACGCAGTGTGGGAGGACCAGGCCCTGCCTATTGTATTTCTTGGAGCTGCTAATGACCATGGCTACAGCAATCCTAAAATAAGAAAGTGAGCTGATTGTTATCCGTTATCTGAGATTGTTCCCCACCGAAGGGGGAAATCGGAGCACAGTTACGTGCGGCACATCAGGTGGCCTGGACTGGAGTCACGAGGCCAAAATACCAGTAAACTTCTGAAAAGTCCAAAGCTCAACCACCACTACCCTGTTCAGGGGTATTTTTAGCATCACCAGCTGCTGCTGTTGGAGAAAACACCCTCAGAGGGGCTGCGAGTGAGGGCATTGCCCTGCCCAACCCATGGCAGGAGGAGGTTGAGGGCAGGACACCTGCTGTGTCCCCTGCCTGTGTCCCCACGCTGGACACCATCCCTGGCGCCAGGTTGTCCAACCTGCACAGTCAACATTGCCCTGTTAAATTTTTACAAAGGCTGGAGTTAGACCTGTCATTGCAGAGAAAGGCAAATAAAAGTGAAATCCAAAGGGGGCCCAGTTCTGCCCTCCCCAGTGCAGCTGGGAAGGATCAAGGCTCATAAACCTTCAGGTCATTAAAAAGAATTAGCTGATAAATGTCATGTTTGGTGCTGTCCAGGAAGTTGGGGATCCAGGCTGATGCCGGCCAGGAGGGTCAGCCCTCAGGCACGTGCCTCAGTGACCCGAGGAGTGGGACATTCTGTGGTCAGGGATCCATTCCTGGCATCACAAATCACTCAGGGTCAGCAAAATTCAATTTGCCAACAACTTAAAGTCCAGTCTGTTTTGAAATCAGCATCTGTACTCCTGCCAAGTTTCACAACCCTGATGTTTCTCCCTAATTTAATTTAGTTCCCCTAAATCTTGCTGGCTCTTGACATGATTGGAGGATTTCAATTCACATTATTACAAAAATGAAAAAAAAAAAAGGAAATAAATTTCAAATCACACGATCACAACAAACAGCTTGAAAATGTGAGCCCGAAATCTAATCTGAAAGATCAAAACACAGAAGCTGTAATAAAGGACGCTATTTGATTTAAGATTTTCTAAAGACCAAATCCTCGATTTATAATCAGGGAGCCTGATTTATAATTTGGGGACGCTGGGGACTGGTAACACCTTGTGTACAGTCACAGTTGCATCTGCCATCCCTGTCCTCAAAAAAGAGAATAACAGCACCATCTACTGCCGTTCCTCAGCATTCGCTTGGGAATGCCAAACTCCAGCTCCATCAAAGCACCTCTGCAGGTCATGGCCCGCTATTGACAGAGAACGAGCAAACTTGGACTGCAAAAATCAAAAATCGGCAGTCTGAATTACTATTGCTGCACACTAATTATTAAAAATTTCAGGCCTCAATAATACACCTACCCCCCAAAACTGGTGGCATTGAAAAAAGCCTTTCAACAGACCAGTATTTTCATATATTTTCGTATATTTCCCCCAAATCCCTTCACGTGTTTATTAGCGTAGCCTTGAAGGGCTGGCTGTGGAATTCCCGATTTCTACGGCGGGCAGGCCTTTCCACCGTCAACAACAGCTCGTGAAAGACGTGGAACATCACCCTGCTTTCCAACCCGGTGAAATCCAGGTCTGTGCTGGGGCTGGCCAGCTCCCAGGAGTTTGTTTGAAAGTCAAGAATGTGCCGTGGTTTAATTACGCCGCTAGGCCGGGGCCTAAATGAAAGCCCCGTTATAAAGAGCAGTCTCTGAGGAGAGGTCCAGCTCGGGTTTTTCTCCCCGAATTGATTACTGGTTAACTCGGGGTAGTTAACACGTTTGTAATGTCTGGTCCAGGCACTTCCCAGGTATTTGTTGCAGGATACAAACATTTGTGGTTTACAAAGTAAACAGGTCCGCCGACATTTTTTCGGCTTGGATTTATTTCTGGTCGCAAACTGTCTCAATGACCTGGTTGAAAATGCTCTGCATGCAAGTGAAAAGTGAAAGAAAAATTAATATCTTTTTCCACGTCTAGACCAAGCCATTTTTATGGGCCACCCCACAGCTTTTGGCATCACTTTCAAAGCATGAAGCTCTGATGATGAACACGAGTGCTGGGGCAGGTGTGTGGTGCCCACCGTGGGGCAGCAGGAAAAGGGATGCTGAACATGAGGTTGTGCCTTCCCAAAGTGAATCAAGACTCTGCTTTGATGGGATGGTATTGGAGGGATCTGGGTGTGTAATTGGGGAAGCAGGGAGAGGCTTTTGGAAGACGTCACAAGCAAAAAAAGGGAAAAAAAAAAAGTGGAGCAAGATTTGGGCTCATCAGGAGATGAAGCAGCACAAGAAAAAGGTGAAGCATGTGGCCTCACACGTGGGGACCCTCTGCCCATCCTGTCTTGCACAATTATAGAACGAAAAATGGAGTTTCACTGGGCAGAGCTCCAGCATCACCCGTCATGTGAGCATTGAGGGCCGGGCCAGGTATTTGTATACAATGCACAAGTCCCTGGCCTTATCTGCTCCCAAGCCTCTCTAGCTTGATAAGTCATTGTCCACCAGCCTCAAGAATTTCAGTGTGTTTGCCAGGGCCAGGCTGGACCCTCCCCAGATATTTGCTGCAGCACACAGACTGGGTTTGCTGCAGCCCTGCTCATCCTACACAGTGCCAGGGGGATGTAAGGGAGATGCACAGCCCAGTTCTGCCATGCAGGAACTTCCCTGCCTCTGCACCAAAACCAGGAGAAAAGAGGTTTTTCAGGCACAGCCCTGCAATGCTGTGGCAGAGCAAGGTTGTGCCACGTGGTGACAAAATTTAATGGTTTCACGGCGGCAGCTGCTTGAGCAGGAGGGGAGGGCAGGACTTCAGTGGGCTCTGAGTTCTGCAGCAAGCCTTCAAGTGGCACAGCACACCCACAAAATCTCAGCAGCAGCCTTCAAAGCCTGCTCTTTGCTCCCATTTATCTTATCTAGTGCTCCACTGAAGCATGGATTTACATAATACACACCTAATATATTAATGTTGCTATTCATCGAGAGGACCTCGACACTGTTTTCTTTGAAAGTCTTGCCAGAAACGCTCAGGTCCTTAAAACGCAAGAGGGTTTTATAGCTCTGAAAAGGATTTGCTCCCCCATTTGTATTCTGAATCCTTTCACAGAGGCTGTTTGCTTCTGTGATAAGAGCCAGGTCCAAAAGCTCAGGAGTGGTAGGATCCACAGTTTGAGTTAGTAGTGCATTACAAAACTACAGCACTCAAATTATTGACTCAGCATGAACCAGTTGTTTCACACCCCCTTTGTAACTGCAATTCTTTCCCCAAAAGATTATCTTGCAACACAGCCTTTTAATAGTCAAGCCTTGTTACACTTGTCACACACATTTCCAGTTAAAAAACTTTTTCATTTTCTCTCTGAGGGCACAAACTTCCCTTCTTGATTCAGTTTTCTCTGCCAGTTTAATTTTGCTTGGGACACTGAATTTCCAAAGGCTGAAGAAATGTCTGAAAAGAAGAAAAAAATTCTCTTCAAGTTCTGATATTGACCTTACTGCAGCTCAAATGATTTTACAAATGAACAAAAAGTTGCCTTACAGACCGCAGCATCAAACCACTAGAAGGAGGTTATTTTCCCTGTGGAGCCAAGCAGATTCTCTGGGATATAACTTATCTTTTCCTTTATTTTGAGCAGGATGAAGAAATAATTGCTTTTACACAAATTTTTGGGCATAAATTATTCTTCTACCCTAAAATGGACTAAAAAAATGAGAAGCACATTGCCCACTTTATTTTAAATAGTGACAACGATCAAATCTTGGGACACATTTCTGAGTATTGGGTTAGTGGTTGATCTTTCCACCTTCATGTCTTGCTTGGTGGTGCAGCTGAACACAAAGTATCTGGCTCAGTACAGGAGGAGATGAAATTAGGTGGCTTCAGCTATCCAGAGACTCAGACTAGGGCATTAATGGTCTCTTCTGATCTTCAAAATCTGCAAATTTGCTCTGAATCAGGGATTATGAAATAGCAAAGAGTAAATCCCTTTAAAATTGGCAGTAAATGTCAGGGACTACACTTTAAGCACACAAAGACACAGGTTCACTGACAGTCGTTGCCCAACAGCCCACAAATAACTCCTGTGCTCCACCACAGACCCTTTATCTCCTTTATCAGAATTGCCAACATCAAACACCGAATGTCAAAATCCTCCTGTTTCCAAACCACGAGACTGTTTTGAAACACTGGGATTCAAAAGTGAAAGAAAAAGACACCTCCCCCTCCTCAAAATGAGCCACTTTGGGCTCTCATTTTACCCGTCCTCACCTGCCCACCTTTTCCCAGGCACACTCCCACCTTTACACCCTCCTGCCTTCAGAAAATCCTCGGGCCATCAGCTGCTGGGAAAGTGGGGCAAAATGCTTTTGGGGTGATAAACCCAAGTGCAAAAGCACATATCACAGAAGCCTGAGAAGGCACCGTTTTACTGTTTTCATTTGGGTTTGTTTCCTCAGGGACAGCCAGCCCGGGTGGCTCTGTGATTGTGTTTGCTTCTGTGGGCACCTGACAAGCAGCCCAAAAAATACTGCTAGGTCATGATGGGCATTAAGGAACCTGGCCCTGATTTTACTCTTTTCTACTGTCCTTGGATGAAGAGCTCCTAATAATGGCCCTCAAAGAGAAAACATGAATCACAGAATGGTTTGAGTTGGAAGGGACATTAAAGATCACCTTGTTCTAACCCCTGACATGGGAGGGACACCTTTCACCATCCCAGGCTGCTCCAAGACCTGTCCAAGCTGGTCTGGGACACTTCCAGGGATGGGGCAGCCACAGCTACTCTGGGAACCTGTGCCAGGGCCTCCCCACCCTCACAGGGAAGAATTTCTTCCTAATAGCCAATCTACCCCTGCCTTCTTTCAGTGTGAAGCCATTGCCCCTTGTCCTCTCGATGTCCTTGTCCCAGGTCCCTCTCCAGCTCTCTTGGATCCCCTTTAGGCACTGGAAGGGGTTTTAAGGTCTGTTTGGAGCCATCTCTGTGCTGGACACCCACAGCTCTCCCAGGGTTCTGCAGCCCTCAGATGATCTTTGTGGCTGGACTCACTCCAGCAGCTCCTTGTCCTTTTATGAACACTCCATACGTTTTTTCCTATTTCTTGACCCATTCTTGCTCACGTTTTCCAGACTCAGACAGCACCTTCGTGGCTGAGAAGCTGTTGTTCTCTGTATCACACACCCCACCTGAAGGCAAGAGAGAGAACAGACCGAAACAGAAAAAGAGCAAAGGAGAACAGAACTTAAACTCACATGAAAAATAATTGCATAAAAGGGGAATCTTGCTTCCTAAAATAGGCTGGCACCAGGCTGTAACACGAGACCCTTTTGCTGATGCCAGATGAGGAGAGTGAGCTCAACATGACCGCCTGCCCTTACAAGAACTCAGCCTGGACAACACAGAGCTCTCTCTGCTGCGGCTCAAGACCTTTGATTTCAGGAGAAAGCAATAAACAGCACCTTGCTTCAAAAGTTTCACGATCCATAGAAATGAAACTTGGCCAGTTCAAAAGGCTATTATTAATGTGCCTTCTTGTGCAGATATGATCTCAAGAAAAACACACATCTAGGACTAATAATAACAAATAATAGAGTTATTCATACAGCTGCTGCTTACACGATGGCAATTTCCCCATAATTGCAGGCACAGGCAATGGACACACAAACAGCAGTCTGTAGTGCCTCTGCCTACTCAGGGCTTGGGTTGAAGCTATTGCTTGTAGGTACATATACTTTTGGGAAGAGAAGTATTCCAACCTCCAGCAGAACCTCGATAAAGCTCTCCTGCATCCCTGCCTGATGCTGTGTTCACACCAGGAAAACACAAGGAAAAAACAAACAAAAGGCATGAGCACAAAGGTGTTTTAGAGGGAGAACAGTTTCTGGGCAGTGGTGAGATATTCAGACCTGAGAACCCTTTGCTCAGCTCCAGACAGAGTAAAAATGATCAGTAGAGGTGGCTGTAAAGTCATCTCCAGGACCTGGACCTCAGTACCCTCCTCAGCAGGGCCAGGGCACAGGAACTGGTGCTGGCAATCCCACAGTGCTCAGTAAGGTGTTAAGGTCACCTGCAGAGTGCAAACAGGGCAGGGAGGGAGCCTCGTGTGTCTCCCATGGCTCCTGCACCTCCAGGCAGCCACCCAGAGCCATGCAACCATCACCTGTCTGCTCCTCACACCTTTGTGTGCATTTGAGCCCCTTCCTGGGTGCTGCCTCTCCTGAGGAGCCTGTTCATGGCCATGGCAAAGTTGAGAGGAAATAAAAGAAAATAATTTGCTCCCCAAGCTGGAAAGTTGGGAGGGGGGGCTAATGCCACCTTCCGCCCAGGAGAACAGAGATGGGTGACAGGGACAGATGGTGGGCACTCCCCCTCCTCATCCCACAGCAGCAGGAAGGCACCTGCAAGGTAAAAAAGGAGGAAACATCTCCCAGGCAAGTACTGTCTCTCATGGTACTTCTGCTTTCTCCCAAATCCCATCAATGGCCTAGGGATAAATTGGTTTATTTAGTAAACACAGTGGATGATGCAAAGCTAATTCCCTCATTGGGAAATGTTTTCCAGCTCAGAGCAGCTGCATTTCCAGCCACCCCAGGCTGCACAGCTTGGGTGGCACCAAGGGACCCCGCACAGCAATGTGTGCAGTGTGCTGTGTGTCCAAGCAGCCACGGGGCTGGCAGCATTCTGAGGAAAAAGAGGATGGGTGAATGCATCCCTGCAGGCTTGAATGCACCTTGGCTTGTGGATGGTGCCTTTGCTCTTCCCTCTGTCACATTATTTTCCTGTCCTGGTGGCCCAGCACTCAGCTGAGGTGGTGGAACAGACCTTGGAGGGGGCTGCACCACAGTGAGATGGCAGCTGGAGATGGGAGAACTCCACCTCCTCGGCTCTTTGAATTCTCCCCCTCGTCCAGATGGGATCCTCATTTTTTAATCCAGCTACCATGATAATTTCAGAGCCCAGGACTGCATTTGCGAGCCCAAATTCCCACCTTGGATGCCATCTAGTGCTGAGTGCTGAGAGCAGAGGAAATTCCCAAGGTGACTGGAGTTGCCAGGAGGAAAATCATCTCCACTCCTCTTCCAGGGGCTGCTGACTCGTGCCAGACTTTATTTCCCAAGACTCCACTGAAAATCACCTGTGATTTAGGTTGATAAAATGTCTTCTGACCACTTCTTTATCTACCTTTTCTTTTTTTTTTTTCTTCTCCCTAGAACAGAAGTATTTCAGGAATAAGCAACAACATTTGCAGCACAGACTCAGGAGATGGGACACCTTTAAAAGGAAGTCTTTAAATATTTTCTGGAGTCATCCAAAATCTGTTTGGATGGTTTTGGTTTCCTGGAGATGAAGGGGGATTTCTCCCTTTGCCAGGTTGCAGGGGCTGAGGATCTTCAGTCAAACCTAAAGATCCAGGCACTCTAAGGAACAGGGCAGTGTACTTTTCCCAGTTTCAGCATTGCAAATTTGTTCATTTCCCAGTGCTGCTGGTTGGGAGATTTACATTGGATATTAGAAAAAATATCTTCACCAAAAGGCTTATCAGGTGTTGGAATAGGCCACCTGAGGCAGTGATGGAGTCACCATACCTGGAGGGATTTAACAGATGTGTAGGTGTGGCACTTGAGGACATGGTTTGGTGGTGACCTTGGCAGCCTTGGGCTAGTAGCTGGACCCAGTGACCTCAAAGGGCTTTTCCAATGTAAATAATTCCACAATTTTATGATTTTTTCCGTGTGATCTCTACAGAATGGCCACCCCAGTTATGAGCACAACACATGCCAGTCCATAAAGTCCTTCCACCACCCAGACTCAGTTCCCAAAGCATAATGGGGCTCTTTGAGGCCAAAAACCTCCCTCCTCCTCCTCCACAGCCCAGAGCCCAGGAGCACACAGCTCCCGTGCCCTGGGTGCTCCGCAGCCCCATGGCTCCCAGGGACCAGCCCAGCTCAGTCTCGCCCAGCCCAGGTCTCACCTCTGCGCTGCAATGCAGACATACCCTCAGGGCATGTCTATCCACCCTGCTCAGGCTGCTCTGGAGCTGGCAGGGAGCAAGTCAGGTCTGGTTTGGGAGCTGCTGAGTGGCACTGGAGTGCAGAGCCAGCCTGGTTTGCCTGGGCACTGTGCCGACCGCAGCGGCTCCGCAGCTCGGGGCCAGGGCAGGAGGCTGCACAGAGCTGCTCCTCCACAGCCTCCTGCTCCTCCACTGCTCCCTAAGAGCTGTGGCACACTCCCACCCACCCCTGTCCTGCTTTTCTCTGCCTCTGCTGGCATTTTGCCCTGCTAAAGCTGACACATCCCTGCTCTTTCTGCACCGAGGCCTTCAGGAGCTTTGCAGTGCCACTGGGGTCGTGCATGGCTCCTGCCCCCTAATTCAGAGGGACAAGGGCTGATCCTTTTGGAGAAGATGAAGTGATTCACTTGCAGGCTTGCCTGCTGTTTTATTAACTCAGGGTTTTTCATCTGCAATTTCAAGTGGTGCAATTTTGAGATCAAAGCCCTGCCCTGCTCTAATGGCTCTGCTTAAGCCCGGCCTTCACAAGCACAGGAGGCTCTGCCTCCAGGGAAGATGTGAGACTCAGCCTCAGCCAACGTGAACCTATCCACAGAGAAGGCAAAACTGGACTAAATGTTGCTCTCACTCATCCCTATCCAAAGTTAATTGGCTTTAATGTGGGAATAACATACCTGCTCGACTGATCTTGGTCAGGCCAGGCCCTGCAGAGTATTTGAGAAAACCCAGTGGATGGTGCTGCCTGTGAAATAGCTGCAGTTCCCCCTGGCCTGAGGAGAGCACGAGTAGCTGGAGAGTGTCCTGAATGGACAAACAGAGGGCAGGACACAAGGCAGGGGGCTGCTCCATCTCCCATCAGTGACAGGAATGTTTGTGTTGGGCTCCTGGAGCAATACTCAGCTACAATTTATTTAAAGATATTGTGCATACTTTATCTTGTTTCTTCAACATATTTCCAACAGTCCCATGTATGTAATTTGTCTTCTTCTTCAGGACAGGAAGATTTTAAATGTGGCCATGTCTATCACAGAACCATAAAATAGCTTAGTTTGAAGCTAAAGACCGTCTTCTTCCAACCCCCCTGCAATGAACAGGGACACTTTCCACATCCCAGGTTGCTCCAAGCCCTGTCCAGCCTGGCCTTGTTCACTTCCAGGGATGGGGCATCCACCACGTCTCTGAGCAACCTGTGCCAGTGTTTTACCACCCACATGGTGAAAAGATTTCTTCCTTATATCAAGTCTGAATCATTCCTCTTTTAATTTAAAACCACTACTCCTTGTCCTGTCACAACAGGCCCTGCCAAAATGTCTTTCCTCTTCAATTTTTGAAGTCCTCCTCTAAGGTAGAACAGACCTCCCAGGCAGCTGGAGATGCTGGTAGATGTTGCCCAACATCATTCAATGTATCAGGAACAGCAGAACCTACACCTGGGCAAACTCTGAAGATTAACCTCAGGTGAACCTGCACAGAAGGGTAGTGAGACTTCATTTTTGGCCATAGGAAAGCTTGGCTTAAATTGTTTAGGACTTGTTCTATGATAAAATGGAGCCAAATGTGTCAGAAACAGGTGCATTTCTGCACAGCAGTTCTGGGCAGGAAAACAACAGGGTTTGGGCAGAGCCAGTCTCACCAGTTATATTGGAATGTAAATGTGGTCTCTACAGGGCATGGTTGGAATCCCAGCCTGAGGGCACAGGAGAAGATCCTAAGGGATCCAGCTGGATCAGAGTCAGCTCCCCCTTAGAACAGGGTCCCCTGAGCTCTGCCCTCTCCCTTGGGTGCTGGCTGAGGCCATCTGTGTGACAGCGCAGGGGTCACTCTGAATCAGGAGCAAACCAGCCACCCCAGACCTGAAATGAGCCTGATCTTGTTCTCACAGACCTATTCCATCGTTCCTCATTCACAAAAAAGCACTCACTCTTTTTGTTCTCCCACATGAGCCAGCAAGCAGAAACACCATGCTGAAAGGGCTCTCTTTCCTGTTGGAAGCTGTATTTATTTGTTGTGTTCAGTGCATTTGATATGTGTGCTACTGATAAAACACAGGCTGTGGTTTAACAAATCAGTGCAGCAGTCCTGATCACAGCCCCTCTGAGCAAAGGGCTGCTGGATGCTGGGTGTTTCCTTATCTAATCTTTCACACTTCAGCATTTCTTCACGTAAAGCATTGATAATTAAAAATGCAGAAGGGGATGATCATGAGGAGAGATTAAAGACCTTGAACAAAACAGTTGAAACAATTATAGCATTACATTACAGGGAACAATGTCTTCTATTAACTGACTGCTGTGCAACAGTGCTGAGGGATCCCAAGCTATGGCTCAAAATCCTTCTGTGTTAAGTGACAAGAGCTGCTATAAAAAGCAGACAAACTCCCTACAGGATGCAGAAGGCAGCCCAGCAGCTGTTTATATCACCAATTTATCTGACACAAATCCTTAATTTCTTCTTAGTTTATTGCTGAATTCCAAAGGTTGATAAAAAGCTGCCTGAATCAAGATTTGAGGCGCTCTATTCTTTGAGCTGTTCTGCATTTTATAAAAAAGAGATTTACATCAGATGATACATCAGTTAAAAATAACTGGGAAATATCAAGTAATTATAAGTATGTGTCCCACAGGTTTGCATATCTTAAATACTGAAATGACTCTTCCTAAGCAGTGAGTCTCATTTTTGCCCTTGGAAATATCATACACAATTCCTTCTGTTTTGATGGGGGATTTGTTTTGGAAAGCTGTCTTAATAGACATTGCTCAATGTTTATATCAAAGAAGGCAGACCAAAAACCTCTGCTTTGCAGCTGGAGCAGGATGGGATATGAGGTTAGTTCTTGTGGGATTTTTTTCTTAGGATTCTGTGCTGGCTTTGGCTGAGGTAGAGTTAATTTTCTTTGTAGGAGTTAGTATGAAGCTGTGTTTTGGATTGTGCTGAAAACTGTGTTGATAATACAGAGCCTCATCCTTCATAAAAACAGGAAAGCCTTGGACTCCAAATGAAGGATAAGCAGCAAGGAATCCAGACTTTCAGCTATGAGTTCTGCAATGAAAACCCCACAGGCTTTCTTCATTATGGCTCAAGAAGCACCAGGGCTGCCTTAAGAGTAAAAATTGTTCCTACTGCACGTGGAGATCCAAGAGCATCCCTGTACAAGAGCCCAAACCTGTCTTAAACTGCATAAACAGCCATTGGCCAAAAATCCCCTCTACCATCCCCATCCAGTGTGGCTGCAATCACTTTAAAAAGGAAAAAAAGCAGCAGACACCATTTATTTATTATTGTGAACACAATTTCTCAACACAATTACACTCCTGGTAAAGAAATACTTCCTCCTAAACCTTCCCTGGGGTAGCTTTGAACCATTCCCACATGTCCTATCACTGGACACCAGGGGGAAGAGCTCAGCACCTCCCTTCCATGTCCCAGGGAGTTGATTCCAAATGAGACAAGCCCAACATCCTTAGCCATTCCTCCTAGGATGTGCCTTCCAGCTTTGTTATCCTCCTCTGGATGCATTCAAGGAACTTCAGAAGGAGCAAGACAGCTAAAAAAAATAATGAGACAAACGGGTCAGACTGGACACTATATACTGAGAATAAAGACTCATAGCAAATATGGTCAAATGAATGTAGGGCATGAGACAGTTGAGATGTAACACACAATGAGGAATTAAACAAATAAAAAAGCCCTCAGTGTTAGAATGTATTAATTTGTTCAGCTAATCCTTCTGCTTCTATTTGCCCTAACTAATTTAATAACTAAACCAGAATTTGAGATGCAGGCAGGGCAAGGAAAAGGCACACCAGAGGAGGTGAAAAGCATCAGAAGCAGCACTTTTTTCCACTATAACCTCTCGTATTTTCCAGCTCTGCCTCATCAGAGCCCACGATCACACAGGGGATAACCTTCAGCAGCCGAGTTTGCAGGTTGTCCTACAAGACATGCTGCCAATCACTGTGTCAGTTATTGCCCTCTTTATTTTTCTCATGCTTGTATTGCAAATCAGACTTTCTCAGCAAAGCTGCTGCTCAGTCTCAAGGAGGGTTAAATGGTTTTCCAGCTGATCCTTGGCCACAGTTTCTTTCCACTCTGCTCAAAGCAGGGGCCAAATCCGAGCCTGGCTCTGCGCCCTCTGCTTTCAGTACTACTCGATAAGTTCCTTTTGTCTGGAAAACC